AGAATGCTTGAGATAGTGGTAGTGTCTTGATACTTGGAGAACGGGTAGTGTTTCGGCATAGATGTTTTGATACTTGAGATAGTAGTAGTGTCTTCTGCATAGATGCCTTTGATACTTGAGATCGTGTAGTGTCTTCACAGATGCCTTTGATATTGAGATCGTGGTGTGTCTTCTGCACAGATGCCTTGATACTGAGATAGTAGGCAGGTGCTTCTGCATAGACGCCTTTAAACTGAGATAGTAGTAGTGTCTTTCTGCATAGATGCCTTGATACTGAGATCGTGTAGTGTCTTTCTACAGATGCCTCTGATACTGAGATCGTGGTAGTGTCTTCTGCATAGATGCCTTGATACTTGAGAAATGGTAATAGTCATAGATGCCTTGATACAGAGGGTAGATGCCTTGGATATTTGAGATAGTAGTGTCTTCTTCAGTATAGATGCCTTGATACTTGAGATAGTAGAAGGTTTCAGCATAGATGCTTTGACACTCAGGAGATAGTAGTGTCTTCGTACAGATGCCTGATACTTGAGATCGGTAGTGTCTTTCTGCATAGATGTCTTGATACTTAGAGATGGTAGTGTCTTTGGGTATAGATGCCTTTGATACTTGAGATAGTAGTAGTGTTCCCTGCAGATGCCTTGATATTTGGGGAGAGTAGCAGTGTCTTCTATAGACGCCTTGATACTTGAGATAGTAGAAGTGTCTTCTGCATAGATGCCTTGATACTTGAGATAGTAAGTAGTGTCTTCTGCATAGATGCCTTGATAATTGAGATAGTAGTAGTGTCTTTGCGCATAGATGCCTGATACTTGAGATCATCGTGGTTGGTGTCTTCAGCATAGATGCCTTGATGCTTGAGATAGTAGTAGTGTCTTCTGCATAGATGCCTTGATACTTGAGATCGTGGTAGTGTCTTCTGCATAGCCTTGATGCTTGAGATAGTGTATTCTTGCCCTTGAGATCGTGGTAGTGTCTTTTGCATAGACGCCTTGATACTTGAGATAGTAGTAGTGTCTTCTGCATAGATGCCTTGATACTTGAGAGATCGTGGTAGTGTCTTCTGCATAGATGCCTTGATATAGGCACTGTGAGATCGTGAGTGAGTGTCTTCTGCATAGACGCCTTGATACTTGAGATGTAGTGTGTCTTCTGCATAGATCGTGGATACTTGAGATCGTCTTCTGCCTTGATACTTGAGATAGCCCTTGATACTTGAGATCGTGGTAGTGTCTTCTGCATAGATGCTGAGATCTCGTGATACTTGAGATAGTAGTAGTAGTAGTGTCTTCTGCATAGATGCCTTGATACTTGAGATCGTGGTATGTCTTCTGATAGTGAGATCGTGGTAGTGTCTTCTGCATAGATGCCTTGATGCCACTCTGAGATAGTAGTAGTGTCTTCTGCATAGATGCCTTGATACTTGAGATCGATGGTAGTGTCTTCTGCATAGATGCCTTGATACTTGAGATCGTAGTAGTGTCTTCTGCATAGATGCCTTGATACTTGAGATAGTGGTAGTGTTTTCTGATGCCTGCCTTGATACTTGAGATCGTGGTAGTGTCTTCAGCATAGATGCCTTGATGCTTGGATCATAAGTAGTGTCTTCTGCATAGATGCCTTGATACTTGAGATAAAAGTGGTAGTGTCTTCAGCATAGATGCCTTGATACTTGAGATAGTAGTAGTGTCTTCTGCATAGATGCCTTGATACTTGAGATAGGTAGTGTCTTCTGCATAGATGCCTTTGATACTTGAGATAGTAGTAGTGTCTTCTGCATGGATGCCTTGATACTGAGATAGTAGTAGTGTCTTCTGCATAGACGCCTTGGATACCGATAGTAGTGTCTTCTGTATAGATGTTCGATACTTGAGATCGTGGTAGTGTCTTCGCAGCAGATGCTCTGATGATACTTGCATAGACGAGATAATTGAGATAGGCAGTGCCTTCTGCATAGATGCCCTTGACACTTGAGACTTGTAGTGTCTCTACAGAGATGCCTTGATACTTGAGATCGTGGTAGTGTCTTTCTGCATAGACGCCTTGATACTTTGAGATCGCAGTGTCTTCAGCATAGATGCCTTGATACTTGAAAGAGAGTAGATGCCTTGATACTTGAGATAGTGGTAGTGTCTTCGCATAGATGCCTTGATACTTGAGATAGTAGTAGTGTTCTGCATAGATGCCTTGATACTTGAGATCGGTAGTGTCTCTGCATAGATGCCTGATTTTATTGAGATAGTAGTGTCTCTGCATAGATGCCTTGATAATTGAGATAGTGTAAGTGTCTCTCTGCATAGGATGCTTGATACTTGAGATCGTGTTAGTGTCTTCAGCATAGATGCCTTTGATATTTGAGATAGTAGTAGTGTCTTCTGCATAGATGCCTTGATACTTGAGATCGTAGTAGTGTCTCTGCATAGATGCCTTGATTGAGATTGAGATAGTAGTAGACGCCTTGATATTTGAGATAGTAGTGTGTCTTGATAGACGCCCTTGAAACCTGAGATAGTAGTAGTGTCTCTGCATAAATATAGATGCCTTCTGCAGATACTTGAGATCGTGGTAGTGTCTTCTGCATAGATGCCCTTGATACCTGAGATAGTAGTAGTGTCTTCTATAGATGCCTTGATACTTGAGATAGTGGTAGTGTCTCAGCATAGATGCCTTTGATACTTGAGATAGTAGTAGTGTCTTCTGCATAGATGTCCTGATACTCTGAGATAGTAGTAGTCTTCAAGCATAGATGCCTTGATACTTGAGATAGTAGTAACTCTTCTGCACAGATGCCCCTGATACTTGAGGATCGGTAGTAGTGTCTTCTGCAGGATGCTTGATACTGAGATAGTAGTAGTGTCTCTGCATAGATGCCTTGGATACTTGAGATAGTAGTAGTGTCTCTGCACAGAGGCCTTGATACTTGAGATAGTAGAAGTGTCTTCAGCATAGATGCCTTGATACTTGAGATAGTAGTAGTGTCTTCTGCATAGATGCCTTGATACTTGAGATCGTGGTAGTGTCTTCTTCATAGATGCCTTGATACTTGAGATAGTAGTAGTGTTTTCTGCATAGACGCCTTGATACTTGAGATAGTAGTAGTACCAGCAGATGCCTTGATACTTGAGATCGTGGTAGTGTCTTCTGCATAGATGCCTTGATATTTGAGATAGTAGCAGTGTCTCTGCGCCTTTGATACCTTTGATAGTAGAAGTTGCCTTTGATCGTGGTAGTGTATTCTGGAGAGATGCCTTGATACTGAGATCGTGGTAGCATCTTCTGCATAGATGCCTTGATATTTGAGATAGTTGTAGTGTCTTCAGTATAGACGCCTGATACTTGAGATAGTAGTAAAGTGTCTTCATAGATGCCTTGATATTTGAGATATAGTAGTGTTCTCAGCACAGATGCCTGATACTTGAGATAGTAGTAGTGTCTTCAGCATAGATGTTTTGATACTTGAGATAGTAGTAGTGTCTCAGCATAGATGCCCTTGATACCTGAGAGATCGTAGTAGTGTCTTCGCATAGATGCCTTGATACTTGAGATGCCTGATGAGGTAGTGTCTTCTGCATAGATGCCTTGAACTTGAGATAGTAGTGTCTTCTTCATAGATAGTGCCTTGATGGTCGTGGTAGTGTCTTCTGCATAGATGACTTGATACATGAGATAGTAGTATTGTCTTCTGCATAGATGCCTTTGATCGTGGTACTTGATAGATGCCTTGGTAGTAGTGTATTGTCTTCATAGATGCCTTGATACTTGAGATCGTGGTAGTGTCTTCTGCATAGATGCCTTGATACTGAGATAGTAGTAGTGTATTCTGCATAGACGCCTTTGATACTGAGAGTAGTAGTGTCTTCTGTACAGATGCCTTGATACTCTGGAGATCGTGGTAGTGTCTCTGCAGCGATGCTTGATACTTGAGATAGTAGTAACCGGCATAGCTGCTTGATAATTCGAGAGAGTAGTAGTGTCTTCATATTTTGATACTTTGAGATCGTGGTAGTGTCTTCAGCAGATGCCTTTGATACTTGAGATAGTAGTAGAAGTATTTCAGCATAGACGTTTTGATATTTGAGATCGTAGTGTCTCAGCATAGATGCCGATACTTGAGATAGTAGTAGTGTCTTCGTAGTGGTTGCCCTGATACTTGAGATCGTAGTGTCTTCAGCATAGATGCCTGATACTTGAGATAAAGTAGTAGCCTTCCTGCGTATAGATGCTTGATACTTGAGATTCGTGGTAGTGTCTTCTGCACAGATGCCTTGGATATCGAGATAGTAGTAGTGTTCTGCATAGACGCCTTGATAACGAGATAGTAGTAGTGTCTTCGGCACAGGACGCCTTGATACTGAGATTAGTGCTCCTCGTATAGATGCCTGATACTTGAGAGATAGTGGTAGTGTCTTCAGCATAGATGCTTTATACTTGAGATCGGTAGTGTCTTCGTGAGTTACTTAGATCGTGGTATAAGATGACGCCTTGATACCTGGAGATAGCAGTAAAGTGTCTTTCTGCATAGATGCCCTTGATACTTGAGATCGTGGTAGAGTCTTCGCATAGATGCCCTGATACTAGATAGTGGTAGTGTCTTCTGCATAGATGCCTTGATACTTGAGATCGTGTGGTAGTACTTCTGGATAGATCTTCTGATCATAGATGCCCTGATACTTGAGACAGTAGTAGTGTCTTCTGCCCTTGATAGATAGCCCTTGATGATGCCTTGAGATCGTGGTAGTGTCTTCAGCATAGATGCCTTGATACTTGAGATAGTAGTAGTGTCTCAGCATAGATGCCTTGATACTTGAGATCGTGGTAGTGTCTTCTGCATGCCTTGAGAGAGATCGCTTCGTTTTGATGACTGAGAGATCGTGGTAGTTCTTTGCAGATAGATAGTGTCTTGATAGATGCCTTGAGACTTGAGAGTATAGTGTCTTCTCCTGCATAGACGCTCGATATTTCTGGAGATAGTAGTAGTAGTTTTCAGATGCCTTTGATACTTAAGATCGTGGTAGTGTCTTCTGCATAGACGCCTTGATACTTGAGATAGTAGTAGTGTCTTCTGCATAGATGCCTTGATACTTGAGATCGTGGTAGTTCTGCATAGATGCCTTGATACTTGAGATCGTAGTAGTGTCTTCTGCATAGATGCCTTGATACTTGAGATCGTGGTAGTGTCTTCTGCATAGATGCCTTGATACTTGAGATCGTGGAGTGTCTTCAGCAGATGTCTTCTTCTGCATAGATGCCTTGATACTTGAGATAGTAGTAGTGTCTTCTGCATAGATGCCTTGATACTTGAGATCGTAGTAGTGTCTTCTGCATAATGCCTTTGATACTTGAGATCGTGGTAGTGTCTTCTGCATAGATGCCTTGATACTTGAGATAGTGGTAGTGTCTTCTGCATGGATGCCTTGATACTTGAGATCGTAGGAGTGTCTTCTGCATAGATGCCTTGATACTTGAGATCGTGGTAGTGTCTTCAGCATAGATGCCTTGATACTTGAGATAGTAGTAGTGTCTTCTTGCATAGATGCCTTGATACTTGGAGATCATGGTAGTGTCTTCTGCATAGATGCCTTGATACTTGAGATCGTGGTAGTGTCTTCTGCATAGACGCCTGATAAACTAGTGAGATAGATAGTAGTGTCTTCTGCATAGATGCCTTGATACTTGAGATCGTGGTAGTGTCTTCTGCATAGATGCCTTGATACTTGAGATAGTAGTATGCTGTGTCTTCTGCATAAATGCCTTGATAGTGATGCCTTGATACTTGAGATCGTGGTAGTGTCTTCCCATGCATAGATGCCTTGATACTTGAGATCGTGGTAGTGTCTTCTGCATAGATGCCTTGACATTTACTTCTTCATAGATCGATATTTGAGATCAGTGTCTTCTGCATAGATGCCTTGATACTTGAGATCGTGGTAGTGTCTTCTGCATAGATGCCTTGATACTTGAGATAGTGGTAGTGTCTTCCTGCATAGATGCCTTGGATACTCTGAGATAGTAGTAGTAGTGTTCTGCATAGATGCCTTGATACTTTGAGATCGTGGTAGTGTCTTCTGCATAGATGCCTTGATACTTGAGATCGTGGTAGTGTCTTCTGCCAGATGCCTTGATACCTTGATACTGAGCATCGCCTGGTATAGTGTATTCTTCAGAGATGCCTTGATACTTGAGATCGTGGTAGTGTCTTCAGATAGATGCCTTGATACTTGAGATAGTAGTAGTGTCTTCTGCATAGATGCCTTGATACTTGAGATAGTAGTAGTGTCTTCTGCATAGATGCCTTGATACTTGAGATCATAAAGTGTCTTCTGCATAGATGCCTTGATACTTGAGATAATGGTAGGTGTCTTCTGCATAGATGCCTTGATACTTGAGATGGTAGTAGTGTCTTCTGCGCATAGATGCCTTGATACTTGTCTGAGATAGTAGTAGTGTCTTCTGCATAGACGCCTTGATACTTGAGATAGATACTTTCTGCATAGATGCATTGATCCTGTGATGGTAGTGTCTTCTGCATAGATGCCTTGATACTTGAGATAGTAGTAGTGTCTTGAGATCGTGATGCCTGATACTTGAGATCGTAGTAGTGTCTTCCCAGCATAGATGCCTTGATACTTGTGGGATCGTAGTAGTGTCTTCTTGCCTTGATATTTGAGATCGTGGTAGTGTCTTCTGCATAGATGCCTTGATACTTGAGATCGTGGTAGTGTCTTCTTATAGATGCCTTTGATACTTGAGATAGTGTCTTTTGTGTCTTGAGATAGTAGACGCCTTGATGCCTTGATATAGTAGTAGTGTCTTCTGCATAGATGCCTTGATACTTGAGATCGTAGTAGTGTCTTCTGCATAGATGCCTTGATGAGATCGTGGTAGTGTCTTCAGCATAGAGTTACTGAGGATGGTAGTGTCTTCTGCATAGATGCCTTGATACTTGAGATCGTAGTAGTAGTGTCTTCCTGATACAGATAGATGCCTCTGCATACCTTGAGAGATCGTGGTAGTGTCTTCTGCATAGATGCCTTGATACTTGAGATAGTAGTAGTGTCTTCTGCATAGATGCCTTGATACTTGAGATAGTGGTAGTGTCTTCTGCATAGATGCCTTGATACTTGAGATCGTTGGTGAGTAGTAGTAGTGTCTTAGATGATGCCTTGATACTTGAGATAGTAGAAGTGTCTTCTGCATAGATGCCTTAATACTTGAGAGTAGTGTCGTGGTAGTGTTGATACTTCTGCATAGATGCCTTGATACTTGAGATAGTAGTAGTGTCTTCAGCATAGATGCCTTGATACTTGAGATAGTAGTAGTGTCTTCTGCATAGATGCCTGATACTTGAGATCGTGTGGTAGTGTCTTCTGCATAGATGCTTCTACTGATACTTGAGATCGTGGTAGTGTCTTCTGCATAGATGCCTTGATACTGAGATAGTAGTAGTGTCTTCTGCATAGAGGCCTTGATACTTGAGATCGTGGTAGTGTCTTGATAGACGCCTTGATATCGTAACGTAGTGTGTCTTCTGCATAGATGCCTTGATACTTGAGATCGTGGTAGTGTCTTCAGCATAGATGCCTTGATACTTGAGATAGTAGTAGTGTCTTCTGCATAGATGCCTTGATACTTGAGATAGTGGTAGTGTCTTCTTCAGATGCTAGATGCCTTGATAGTGTCTTCTGAGATGCCTTGATCTTGAGATAGTGTAGTGTCTTCTGCATAGATGCCTTGATACTTGAGATCGTATTAGTGTCTTCTGCATAGATGCCTTGATACTTGAGATCGTGAAGTGTCTTCTGCATAGATGCCTTGATACTTGAGATAGTGGTAGTGTTGATACTTCTGCATAGACGCCTTGATACTTGAGATAGTAGTAGTGTCTTCTGCATAGATGCCTTGATACTTGAGATCGTGGTAGTGTCTTCAGCATAGATGCCTTGATACTTGAGATCGTGGTAGTGTCTTCAGCATAGATGCCTTGATACTTGAGATAGTAGTAGTGTCTTCTGCATAGATGCCTTGATATTGAGATCGTGGTAGTGTCTTCTGCATAGATGCCTCGATACTTGAGATCGTGGTAGTGTCTTCTGCATAGATGCCTTGATACTTGAGATAGTAGTAGTGTCTTCTGCATAGACCTTGATACTCTCGTGGTAGTGTCTTCTGCATAGATGCCTTGATACTTGAGATCGTGGTAGTCTTCTGCATAGATGCCTTGATGGAGATAGTAGTAGTGTCTTCTGCATAGATGCCTTGATGCTTGAGATCGTAGTAGTGTCTTCTGCATAGATGCCTTGATACTTGAGATCGTGGTAGTGTCTTCTTCATAGATGCCTTGATACCTGAGATAGTGGTAGTGTCTTCTGCATAGATGCCTTGATATTAGAGATCGTGGTAGTGTCTTCTGCATAGATGCCTTGATACTTGAGATCAGTGGTAGTCTTCTGCATAGATGCCTTGATACTTGAGATAGTAGTAGTGTCTTCTGCATAGATGCCTTGATACTTGAGATAGTAGTAGTGTCTTCTGCATAGATGCCTTGATACTTGAGATCGCCTTTCTTCTGCATAGACGCCTTGGATACTTGAGATCGTAGTGTCTTCTGCATAGATGCCTTGATACTTGAGATCGTGGTAGTGTCTTCTGCATAGACGCCTGATACTTGAGATCGTGGTAGTGTCTTCTGCATAGATGCCTTGATACTTGAGATAGTAGTAGTGTCTTCTGCATAGATGCCTTGATACTTGAGATAGTAGTAGTGTCTTCTGCATAGATGCCTTGATACTTGAGATCGTGGTAGTGTCTTCTGCATAGATGCCTTGATACTTGAGATAGTAGTAGTGTCTTTTGCATAGATGCCTTGATACTTGAGATAGTAGTAGTGTCTTCTGCATAGATGCCTTGATACTTGAGATCGTGGTAGTGTCTTCTGCATAGATGCCTTGATACTTGAGATAGTAGTAGTGTCTTCTGCATAGATGCCTTGATACTTGACATGGTGGTAGTGTCTTCAGCATAGAGGATTTGATACTTGAGATAGTAGTAGTGTCTTCTGCATAGATGCCTTGATACTTGAGATCGTGGTAGTGTCTTCTGCATAGATGCCTTGATATTTGAGATAGTAGTAGTCTTCTGCATAGACGCCTTGATACTTGTGATCGTGCAGTGTCTTCTTCCCAGATGCCTTGATACTTGAGATATAGTGTCTTCTGTAGTGATCTTCTGCGTGGTATGCTTCTTGATATACTTGAGATCGTGGTGTGTCTTCAGCATAGATGATGCCTTGATACTTGAGATAGTAGTAGTGTCTTCTGCATAGACGCCTTGATACTTGAGATCGTAGTGGTGTCTTCTGCATAGACGCCTGCCTTGATACTGAGATCGTAGTAGTGTCTTCTGCATAGACGCCTTGATACTTGAGATAGTAGTAGTGTCTTCTGCATAGATGCCCTTGATACTTGAGATAGTGGTAGTGTCTTCTGCATAGATGCCTTGATACTTGAGATAGTAGTAGTGTCTTCTGCATAGATGCCTTGATACTTGAGATAGTAGTAGTTCTTCTGCATAGATGCCTTGATACTTGATGAGATCGTGGTAGTGTCTTCTGCATAGACGCCTTGATACTTGAGATAGTAGTAGTGTCTTCTGCATAGATGCCTTGATACTTGAGATCGTGGTAGTGTCTTCTGCATAGACACCTTTGATACTTGAGATCGTGGTAGTGTCTTCAGCATAGATGTCCTTGATACTTGAGATAGTAGTAGTGTCTTCTGCATAGATGCCTTGATATTTGAGATAGTAGTGTCTTCTGCATAGACGCCTTGATACTTGAGATCGTAGTAGTGTCTTCAGCATAGATGCCTTGATACTTGAGATAGTAGTAGTGTCTTCTGCATAGACGCCTTGATACTTGAGATAGTGGTAGTGTCTTCTGCATAGATGCCTTTGATACTTGAGATAGTGGTGGTGTCTTCTGCATAGATGCCTTGATACTTGGGATAGTTTTAGTGTCTTCTGCATAGATGCCTTGATACTTGAGATATCGTAGTGTCTTCTGCATAGATGCCTTGATACTTGAGATCGTGGTAGTGTCTTCTGCATAGATGCCTTGATACTTGAGAGATAGTGGTAGTGTCTTCATAGATGCCTTGATACTTGACATCGTGGTAGTGTCTTCTGCATAGATGCCTTGATACTTGAGATCGTAGTGTCTTCTGCATAGATGCCTTGATACTTGAGATAGTAGTAGTGTCTTCTGCATAGATGCCTTGATACTTGAGATCGTGGTAGTGTCTTCTGCACAGATGCCTTGATACTTGAGAGATAGTAGTAGTGTCTTCTGCATAGATGCCTTGATACTTGAGATCGTGGTAGTGTCTGCATAGATGCCTGATACTTGAGATCGTGTATTGTCTTCTGCATGATGCCTTGAGAGATAGTAGTAGTGTCTTCTGCACTAGATGCTTTGATACTTGAGATAGTAGTAGTGTCTTTGCATAGATGCCTTGATACTTGAGATCGTGGTAGT